ACAGATTGATGGAAGCAGATTTGCTCAGATATCTATCGTAACAGATTCGATATCATCTGTGTTCGCATTAAACTCATATTTTGTCGGCAGAAACCGAGCAGTATATATGTATATTTATCTGATTTATCATTGCGTAAACATTTAAACAATTACGAAACGGCAGATTTTGCTCAGTTTCTACAGTCAGTATGCTATTATATTCTATTAGTAGATATTCTTATATTTCTGCTGGCATTTTATCGACAAAGTTTGCAGCAGACACTTCCAAAATCTGTTCTCGACAGATTTGGTTATCCGGGTGAATTTTTTCAATTCTGAAATCGTATAATTTTCAATTGTTGGTGACACGATTCATTAATCGTCATACTCACGCACGTTTGTAGAACGTGCAATTATTGAGGCAATGGTCTCTATTTACGAATAGACTAAAAAAACCCTGCTTTCACTTAGCATATTTTACATCGTCATTGAGATGCGCCATTAAGTCGTTCGTGAATAACGCGAGAAAAAGAAAGAGGGGGAGGGGAATGAGACGCTGTCCTTTCCGTGTCACTCCGTGCGATTTCCGGAAATCGGGAAATTCCTAGTTGATCCACAGCGAGTCCGGTGGAATCCGCGTTGATTCAGGTCGTATTCACGGCGCATCGCGGTGAAAAGGCGTACCGCTTTTTGAATATATTCCAATTAAAAAGTCAGAACTTCGTTACACTCAGTTTTGCCCCCTTATTCCTGCTCCCCCGCCAGGCCATCGCCCGTTATCACCCTTCTCGCCTTCTTTTCCAGACCCGAGGCCGCCGACCTTTTTTACTTCTGGCTTTTGCCTTTCATCAAGAGAGAAGAGGCACAAGGAAAGAGAGAGAAATCGATATACAGATTTTTCTCCCGCAATTACTTCGCTGCTTTCTGCTCTATAAAGAATTAGAAGCTCCCGCGGGGGGGGGGGATCGCTTTTTTTCACGTTTCTTGCTTCTGCCTACGCTCTCTAATGGTTATCGGCTCGCCTATACGTACGTGGATTAAAATCTAAATGAGGGAACTTATTCGTCGTCTCTGGCAAGAGTTCTGTAGCAAAAACAAGAGGCGTGTAATGAATATTCTATTAGTTCAGTTTAATAATCACAGTTCACGGGGTTGGCGAGCAACAAAAGGATTATGCAACGCTCGATCGAGAATGCAAAGGAGTCTGCATATATACGAAACAGGCCGAAGAATTTCTTTCCCGCGCACGTACGCGGGGTCGTCCCTCACGGCGAAGTATTTAACAATGCACTATGGAGACACGAAGCCAGCCAAGAAGAAATAAGAAGCACGTGCCCAAGTGCCAACATGGGCTTACGCACGTATGCACACGCGTGTGCGTGGCTATTCGTCGCGATACAATACGCACGTGGCCGAACGCCACTTGCCTCACGTATCTCGGTTGGAATTCCCCCTCGGCTCTTGATAAAGATGATCGCATATTGAACTATGGAGATAGATAAAAGTATTAACATGCGCGTTTCCGATGAAAACTTCCATATTTTTAAAAAAAATTTCTTAAGATTTTTTAAAGATTTTTTAGAGATATTTATATCTTAAAAGCGTGATTATACATAATATCAGCTAGGTTCTTATATTTAAGATCGTCTTAACTTAAGTACAATCTTAAAATGTCATAAACCAATCACAGTGCCGTATTAGCATCTTGACATCACTTAAGACGGTCTTGAAATAAGAACAGACTATGAATACCGGCCATACAGATGTATATTATAAAATTTATATTATTCTTATCATAGAAGTTCTTACTTGAAATTAATCAAGTGAATTTTTACATATACTTTATTGTACAACTGTTGTAAATTCTGTACTTATGAAAAATTCGCCAAGTTTTTTAATTCGATAATATTAAAATTCGATGTTTCGAGATATTAGAAAGAACGATTATTAAGCGCAAGTTACGATGATCGAAATTCGCTGATTGTCTGAGAAACTAATGCCGTGATATGATTCATCGTACTAAAATGTAAACTACGAGTGGAATCCCGGCTTTTTTTTATTTCTTGAGAAAACACATATCGCATAAAGCTCGAATAATAGAGTATACACTGAAAAAAAAATAATGTTGTATCAACAGCAACAGTGTAATTGAAATAAAATTGGTTGATTCAACATCAATATTAATGAACGAAATGCATCAGATAGTCAATTTATAATCCAGATATTTGGTCCAATAATATCATTGTAGTTGGAATATCTCGTTATATCAATCATATATTTACTCATCCCAAACACATAATTCTTTATTATAATTACATATGAATTAAATAACTTTCTTGATGTATAATTGAATACCATGTAATCTATGTAGTTACTACATCTGCTGTCACGTCAACTGCGTGAAATACTTAAAGGAAATCAACGGTACGGTTAATGTTATTATGGTTGCTACATATGCACGATCTTGTTGATTCAAATATAAATTTATTTAATCTGTATACTTTGTGTATATTGCTACAAATCAGTTATTTGTCAGATATTGCACTTAAATATTATTGATTCATGTGCAATGATTTTTTAGAGGAAATAGAAATGTGTGTATATTAATTACACAAATGCTCGATGCAATCGACACGTGTAATCCTTAATATCTTTGTGTATATATATAATGTGTAATCAATATGAAAACATTTCTATTTCCTCCAAATAAAACAATGCGTATGATTCAATAATATTCAACTATAACACCTGACACGCGTAATGCTGTTAATTTAAGTACGGCACCTATAATAGGAATAAAACGAGGAGTGCGAGACTTCATCATATGATTTCACGTTCAGAGTAGAAAGTTCATACTTCTTTTACGTCGAGCATATGGAGAGATCGATTCGAAGTTTATTTCATTCTGAATATACTCGGAAGTATTCTTCCTATTGTCTTATTTCCTTCCCTCATTGCTCCTGGGAAAGAAACAAAATCGAATGGTGAAACCATAATGTATTCGTTTCTACAATGTTTCGTTTAAAAACAAAACAATTTTAATTATTTATAACAGATGACATTATTCTAACATATTAAATGTAAATTTATTTAATCAATTGTCAATTGTATTTAAAGGAAACATATATGATTACAAAAATATGTAAAATTTAATTATATAAATTGAAACCGCGTAAGGCTTTTCAAGAAATCAATATTGAGAACTGAACTTTTTTTTTAAACCATAAAAATGGTGTTCTATTTTTAATGTAAATCTATCAGAATTTTCTTCTTTTTGTTTAGTTTTGCAAAACAAATGTAATAGCAATTGCTTAACGCTCGAAATACATAACAAATGCAAATTTTTTTAGCACTTCGATTTTCTTGAATGCATTTTCCTTAAATTTCTCGGATATTATAGCGATTTTTGTCTAATAAATAAATTATTATCCATATACCTTGTAGTAGTTGTTTTTTTTATTAGTGCGAGTAACTTCTTCGTAAAGTCATCATGACAATCGCATCAATTGTTGCACATTCTCTCGTTGTTTCCATGCAATTAGATCCGCAACACAAGCCAATTCCAGTCCGCACGAGCACCGTCGAACCACTTGACATGTATCGGTTTCAACCAATTATTCGTGCTTGGCCACGTGCCCATTGCCACGTGTGCATTTTAGTTACAAGAAATTATCCACTGACAAAAGAAGGATAAAAATGTAAAATAATAACGAAATGTATCCAAACGCTTTGTGCTTTGCCTTCGAAATTGTCTGGATCAGCTTTAATCGAAGCGAAAAGTATAAAAGCTTCAAGCGTGTATGAGTAAAGACTGAGCGTATGTTAAATGAAATATCGAACGGCTTTGATGGGTTTTAATAATAATTTATTTATCTACAAATAACGTTCTGTTTCGGAAAAATTATTCGATAGATTATCGACGACGAATAACAATAATTAACTAAATTATTGGGGATAATAGCGCTTGCCTTGCGTACGTGCTCGAACATTGCACATTGGATATAATTAATAATATTACTTTCACCCGCACATCAAGATTACACTAAGACGTTAAAATATCTACGAATAAAATTTGTTACTAAAAATTAGATTTTTATTAATCGTCAATAAAACCTCTGGTTTCAATTTATATTACCAAGTTGCAGCGCATATTCTTTCTTTCAACAAAACAGCTGCTCTTTTCATTTATCTTCTAAATGAAATATTAATATCGCATCTATATAGTGACATATTATAATGATGTTGTAACATTATTACAGTATCGATTATGAAATTCTGCCATTCATTCAAGAAGACGTAAAATATTAATGTTGAATATTTCACTAAATTCGGTATGTGAAAGATAAACTGTTAAAACTATTGAAACTCTGTAATTACATATTTACATCCTTATTTGATCATCATTTAACAGCTGGTATGCAAGAGGAAAAGTGGAAAAAACGACTACAGAATTTTTTGAGTACAAAAGTGTCTGTAACACTCAACAGGCTGAAATTTAACCGTATGCAGATGTATAATTAACGTAGGATAATTATAGTTTATGCTCATTCATTTGTCTCTCTTATCATTAAATCAGAAAAATCTTTGAACAAGATCAATATCCAAATTTTAAACATAACATTATAAGAAAGATATAACGCAACAAAAAGGAAAGAACAGTAATATACAAACGTTTCTCTTACTCATTGGTTGCTGTATAAAGCGATTTGTTAATGCAAATCTTTCCAACTAATTCGCTATAAAGTACTGGCCGCGCTGATGGAACCTTTCTTATGCATGTTTTCTTATATTTTTTGATATGCTGAATCATTAACAATTAAACCGTTTATTTCAAGCTGATATGATGGAAAAATAGCGAAAACTGCATTTAAAGTAACAAATTTGTAAAAATTTTTCTCAAACAAAAACTTTTCTCTGCGTCATAATCAGCACCTTAGTCTATGTCAGTCTAAGTTTTAGAAAATAAAAAGCAATCTTTTTTCTTAAATATCTTAAATTCATTTTTCTTCGTATATCTCGAAAATGTATGCGGGGTGGATAACTCAATTATTTTCCGATGTCGAATTATTACACATTTAATTATTAATCAAACAAAGACCAAATCTATTTTTCCCCCGAGTTATTCTTTTTAAAAATGTATGTAAGATATACATTTTAATTATTTCCAGAGAGACATATTTTCGCACGAATTTGTACACTTTGAATAAATATATATGTAGTGAGGGAAAATGTGTGTGTGAGAAAAAAGGAGAGAGAGAGAAAGAGGGTGAAGGCGAAGGGAAACGAAAGGACACGAAAAAAAATGAAGTGGGGAATGGATTAGTTTGGGGCAATTTTGGGTAAATTTGGTTATGTTAGGTTAAGTTAGGTTGAGTGATAGATTGAGCTAGTTTTTTAATATTGGAATGAGTGATATTAAGTTAAGTAAGAGTAGAGGGGTTGGGGTGTAGTAGGAGGAGGAGGAAGGAAGGGTAAAAAAAAGTTATATAATTTTGAGTTTTTATTCAGATTTTTACAAATCTGCTACTTTGAATGTGATTTCCCATCCTATATTTTCCCATCATATCAGCTTGAAATAAACGTTTGGTAATGATTCAGTACATTATAAAATATAAGAAAACATGCATAAGAAAGGTTCTATCAGCGCAGCCAAAATCAGGTTACCCTTCGTCCTTTGAGAAACTCCGAAATAATGAAGAATGAATCGAAGAGTTTTGAAACACTATGTTAACACTCACAGCACAAGTAGTTCGTCGAAATGTTTCTTCGGAGCTCCGAGTTAAATTTCTCGATCTTCTGGAAACAATCTCGAGACCTTCGAGATTACACGTGTTAGAGGGGACAGCCGTGGACGTAGGTGACATTTCGGAAGAGCGCGGCCGCCGTTGAAAGAAACGCCGCCGTGGAAGCGGTGGATGGTGCTGGCGGCGGTGGCGGTGGTGGCGGATGGCTGGTCTGCGATTGCGAATTGTACGGCGAACAATAAGCGTCTATGCTACCGTGATGGAGGCCCACACTGCGTACCAAAAGGTCTTTCTCGACGGTAGCTTGATGACGCAGCTGTTCCAATCGCAGCTGATTCTGCCGCTTCCATTTCGTCCTGCAACGAAATTGTGGTGTGCAAAGCTGTCCCTCTTACCTCTGCTGATCTTATTCTCTGTCCTACGATAAATTTTCCTCTACCTTCGGTTTTGATACCAAGTCTTCACTTGAGTCTCCGAGAGCGATAGAGCGTCGGCGACGTCGCTGCGGTCCGCCACGCTGAGATATTTCTGACAACGGAACTTCCTCTCGAGGTAAGCCAGCTGAGCGTGAGTGAATGCGGTTCGTCGTCTCCGTGGTTTCCTACCGGTCGGCGGTGCATTGTTAGCGATCACTCCGCAAGATTTTCCAGACGTAGTTGCCGGACCGGGCGACGGCGAGAGCGCCGGTGGTGGACTTCCTAGACGCGTGCAGGGGCTGCTGCCAGGATCGATGGTGTCCTCGGAATCCGAATGGACCGCCGAATCATCCTCCGAGTCCTCTGCAACATGTTTTTGTGAGACTTATATTCTTGGGAATAATTTCCCGATGATTAGATAATAATTTATTAGACATTAACTGATCCGACAGAATATATTTTTTAACGTTCTTTGCAATAATTCAAGTTGTAGTACGAGATAAATTATACATTTTGAAATCTCCAATTTTGTATCACTAATTTTTATTTTCTTCCGTTAATTCAACGTAAGACAGGATTTCAAGTTACTGGATTATTTATATAAAAAAATAAAATATATTTTTATCTGTATGGATGTTATTGACTGCGTTAACTATATACATATTTATAGAGAAACATCCTAGGAGACAACGCGTTTCTTTGTTATATATTAATAACTATAATTTTCTGGCTGATCCAATCGATGGATTTGGTTGGTCGGGCAAAGTCTATTACCGAAATAATAATCCAGCAAACCTCAATCGATATTGATCGATCTCGGTTAGAGAGCAAACTATCTCAATTACCGAAACCTGCTACACCCTCTGAGAATTAGCCAATAGATTTGTAACGGCGCACTAGGGGGTAATAACCTTCGATGAAAACCCCGAGACTAACGAGCCCTAACGAATCTTTCGGCACCTCGAACCATCTGTAGAATTGTTCTTAATGGGGTACCACCTCCAAGAGGGTTCGTCACCCCCGGTGGCTGTGCGTCCGCATTTAAATAATAGACTCGCACCACGGGATCCATTTTCTAACGAGAATTTTGACGATCTGTCACGTGTTCGGAAATGTTTGCGTGGAAAAAATAATAATTATCGCCTCGCGAAATTAAGAGGTTAAACTAGTATAAAAGGATAAAAATCGATCTTTTTTTATTTTAACACATAATATGTACTTTTAAAATTGTTTTGATGAGGTTCACGTCAAAATTAAAAAAATTAACGAAGTTTGTAATAAAAGATTTTTTATGTAAAATTATACATAAATATGTATAAAATATTGTCCATATATGTTTTCTTTTGCTTGTATAATCTCTGTTTATACAGGGTATCCATTTTAAACAATTATTCCCCAAAATTTTTATTTTTTTTTTTTAATTTTAGATGAAAATGTTTCAGACAACTGTTATATGGAAAGCAACAAATAATCGTGAAATCAATTTTCGGCAAAATCTATTTTTCAATGTCACGTAAAAGTCACCTTCAATTTTTTAAATGGAATACCCTTATTTTTGATAAAATTTTGTAGCAGTTGAAACGTTTCCAAAGACCTGTAAGAGTTAATAATATTTTTATTAAGAAGTTGTGGAGAATATGATCGTAGTAGAGTATCGGAAAATACGCAATCAAAAAAGGGGGTAAAAATTGAAAAATAGATTTTGCTGAAAATTGATTTCAGAGGCGCCGTACGGCAAACCGGGCTCGTGCGACGACCGGCCCGCGAGAGACCGGCCGCCTAGTAAGTGTGTCACATTGTTTTGAGCCTTATGCGACTCACGAGACTTTCTAGAGATATCATTGCCACCTTTGACTAGAGAGGATACGGCCTTAGAGGCGTTCAGGCATAATCCCACGGATGGTAGCTTCGCACCACCGGCCGCTCGACCGAGTGCGTGAACCAAATTTCCGAACCTGCGGTTCCTCTCGTACTGAGCAGGATTACTATCGCAATGACTGGTCATCAGTAGGGTAAAACTAACCTGTCTCACGATAGTCATATATAATCATATTTTATATACACGATTATTACATTTATATATTATATATATGGCTAATTTTTTCTCATTTCTCCAAACTTTACTTTTTATAAAAGAAACAATTATGCAAAAATTATCCTTTTAATTAGTTTTAAACTTCTTTCTTATTTTTCCTATATGTACAAACAGAAATAATATAAAAGATAGAAACCATATATGGACATATTTCATATATTTTATGTATATTTATATGGAAAATGTTTTATCAGGTTATGTTCAAAGCGAGTTACCAACGTGTCTTGATGCATTTATTAATAATAATTATTGCGAGAAATATTTTTTTTATTGTATTCTTATAACACGTCCTAAAGTTTTTTTTAGTAAAAGTACAAAAACGGTTATACCGAAAGCGCTAGAAAAATTTGAATGTTCAGTCTTTTTTCGCTTGTCGAACAGAGCACAGCGTCTATGTAAAAAAACTTTATAAACATTTTTTTTTATATACAATTAAGTTAATTTATGTAAAATTAAGCAACAAAGATTTATACTGAAATAATGTTTTAAGCGATTTAAATAAAAATAATAATGAAAGCCTCAATGTTATTGTATAGAAGATAGTTATTCCGAGGATTGAGCGATACCAGCAATTGTAAAAAATTGCAGCTTGCCTTGCTGCAATTTTATACACACACACACACACACATATTTTTTTACGCTATATTTTGTTACAATTATATTTAATGACAATCGCACAGGTTTACTACAGATTTTAAAGATTATGAATATAAATAATGGAGATAATTTATATAAATATTGGCATTGCACTATTAAATATTATTAAATTTAAACCAATACTTTGGCTTAAATAACATTTTGTTATTTTTAACTACCATGCATGTCAAAATTTACCATTTTAACACAAAACAGTATTATTTTAGCTCTATTTTGATTTAGTTAAATTAACATTGTTTTAGTTAAATTAACGACATGGTGAGTAGGAGCAGTGACGACCTATGGTTAAAAATGATTCATATTGTGTATAATTTGATACCACGAATTTAATAGTGTGTGAGAAATTAGATGCACACCACATTCATGATGCCGATGGCTAGGTGCAACACGCTATAGCTTCAGGCAGCTATGCAGAAGATTTTTTGGGCACGAGAAAGTTGTACTTATTACAGAAATCTTATTATATGCCCCTACGAATAGCTAAAAGTAAGTTAAGAATAACTTTTTCCTAACGCGAGCGTGAAATGGGCTGCTTTTCGCGCTTGTTTTGAGTGAGCAAAACTATCCATTTCGCAATGATGACGTAAGCGTTGAAACATGGAGCCATTTCTCTCCTATTTCTCAACTAGTTGAGAAATGAAATTGTAAAACAAGCGCAAAAAGCGGCCTGTTTCACGCTCTTGTTAGGAAAAATAGTATGAACAACTCGTGGGAAGAGTGGTCGAGCCCAAATGAGTGTGATGGTCGCACTCGCTTCGCTCGTACGACTAACTTCACACTCATTCAGAATCGACCACTTTTTCCACTAGTTGTACAATATACTATTGTTATTTAATAAATAACAAGAATTGAAACTTTAAATGTGCTTTTCTCGAAACCTATTTCTTCAACTGCATACTTCCTAAACTATTAATGATATCAACATGCAATTTGCGACAAAATACGCTTTAAAAAAATGCTTTATTGCGTGATGATTGTATACTTAAAAAAAATTATGTTTAATATGGGCGCCCATGAGTGAGGACAAGGAAGGACATATGCCCTTCCTCCTGGATTTTAATTTTTTCAATTTAGAATAATTTTATAATTGACAACCAGATAACTTTTTGTTTGAAATTTATACAAGAATAAAAATCTGCATAAAAATTTAAAAAAAAATTTTGTTTGATACGTTCGTTTGGCAGAGCTTTACATAAATCGAAAAATTCCATATGCATGGGAACTGTTTTCTTTTTTAGAATAATCGGACTCGTCGATGGTATTTTATTTTCTGAAAATCGACTATGTATCTTATTGAAACAAAGTGAAAATTAAAAGTGAACAGATTTACTAGTATTACAGATTACAACAAAATAAAATCATAGATACTCTAGTAAATTTCCTCACTTTTGTAATTTTCACCTCATTTCAAGATACATAATCGACCTCCTGGAAATTAAGAAATTCAAGAAATTTAAAATTTCCCAGGTAGAAATCTGTCTCTATTTGCCGAAATTAAGTATAGGGCCTGGATAGAAAAATCTAGTTTGGAATATCTAGGTCCAGAATACGCCCTAGAAATTTATCTTGATTTTACCTATTATAGATAAAGAATAGTCGGGAAAATCTACATGGGTTCTAGATTGCTACTGACAGATTTTTCCCAAATTAAATATAAAACTATAGGGCCTGGATTGGATAATCTATAGTTTTAAATACCCTGATAGGTCCAGAATATAATCCTGAAATTTACCTAGTTTTCCCCAAAATAAAATTTACGTGTAGTATATAATATGCAATTTATACACATAATTAATAATTGTGTCAATTTTTCTGAATTGTCTTGTACAAATTGTCTTCTTAATTATAGGTGGTCATAATTGTAGTTTTGAGACACTTGAGATAATGAGTGATATCGAAGATACGTCGATGTCCTCACGATTGTTGAGGAAATGAAAATATTACGCAAGAAAAAATTAGAAAAAAGAATGTGTTTAACAATGAAAACCGATAATGAGGTTAGGTTAACAATGATGTGCAAGGCAGTAATATAACCATCAATAATTGTTATCATACTATCAGTAATATGACTGTGCATACGAAGAAGCCGAAGCACATGGAAATTCTGAGTCCGAGAATAACGGAAAAAAATTCTAAATGCTATTGGTTACTGCTTATAATTTTTATCTTTTTAATTATTTTTAAATTCTTCTTATTATTATTTTTCTTGTGTACAAACAGAGATTATACAAGAGGAAAAAAATATACAGAAGAAAGAAAAAACATAGACGGATAAATTTATAATTATTTATATATATATAAAATTTCTAATGTATATATTAAAATAGTATATAATTTTACGTGTTTTATGTTTGGTTAAAGCTATTTCGTTTTAACCTTTGTCTAAAAGATTGAATAAAAAAATTGTATAATAATACAATTTATTTTTGTTATAGAAGTTTACTTGAATTATTTACCTATAATATTTTTGTAATTTCCAACCTATTCCATTCTATCTATTATATGGCAACAATATTAGAGTAATCGTACTTATTTCCGAGTTTTTTCTTCGAGGGATGATGAAAATTTATGATATTCTTATAAATATACATATTATACAGGATGTTTCCTAATAAGTACAAAAAAATTGAAGGGAATATTCCATGGCTTATTTTAGGAAGAAAAGGTTCTATAAACATATGTCCTAAACTGCTTTGTTTTCAAAATAAAGGGTGTCAAAAACGCACGCCTCTATAAATGTTTCGGTATTGGAAAATCGGTACTGGAAAATAATTCTTAATCGACATGTACCAAAAATGTCTTTAAACCTTTTCCAAATTTTCATATTTTTTTTACAACTTTGACATCCTGTTTTTTGAAAACAAAGCAGTTTAGGGCATGTTTATAAGAGCTTTTCTTCCTAAAATAAAAATGTCCGCTTCAAATTTTTGTACTTACTTAGGAAACAACTTATACGTTTAGAAAGATAAAATGTAATAGTTATGTGTTTCAATGTAATAATTGTTCAGTTAATCGCGGTAATTTTTGCGATTTGTACGGAAGAGATTGATCATTTCTTGTAATTAGGAAATGATTAATGCATCCCGACATTAGGACCACATTATTGTTATCATCAATATCTATTATCTCGCGTTGATTATCCTCCATACGATTTTTGTCCGCTGCGCTATGTGTTTTGGTGGTGAAGATACCTTGAACTCGATCAGCCAATACATCTCCTAGAAGATCTCTGATCAGGAAAGATTTGTGCTCCTGCATCATCACCGTCAAAGAAGCGGTGCACTCGCAACGTTCACGATTGTTTATTGAAATTGTATTCTCCCTGACGAAGCGACGGTAATCATCGGCGACAATTCAGCACGAATTGTGTGAACACACTCGCGCCGCAAAAAAATTCGCGACTTTCATGCTATCGTACGGACGCTCGGCGTCATTCTGCGTCACCGACGGCCACTGCGGCTGACCGGAAACCTGGTCCCCGAACCCCAGTACCATCTCTCGTCATCCTTATCGCCGCCGCCAACTATCGCGGGGGTGGAGACACGTACCGAGAGTCTGCAAATCGAAAGGAGGTGATACGCGCTCGCGTACCCTCCACGCCGCTCCCGCGACCCCCTCGAATTAATCCGCCCGTTTATTTTGAACGGGCTGCCTAATGCCTGCGCAATTTCGCAGCCATTTTGGGGGTGGAAGCGCCATTCTCACTCCACCACGAGACCGGCACGCTTCACCCGATTGGTTCGCGGAGACTGGGACACGGGGGTGAGAAAGTGAAACCCTGGCGTTGCTATTGGTCGGAAGATTCTACAGTTGGGTCCTCCCCACGCTCGCGATCCGGTAACTCGGTGCATGCTTCGATTTAAGTGGATCCAGGTAAAGGTGCAAGGGGCGGTGGAAACTAGAGAGTGAGATGGAGAGGTATGCGGAAAAAGAGACGGTAGCAGATGCAGATGGGGAGAAGAAGTCATTGGCGAGCGATTACTGCGAAACGGGAGGAATAAATTGAATGTAAAACTTTTCTGCGAGCGTACAATGTATAGCTGGTTTCTATGATTTCAGTGCTTGAAAGGCGGATGCTTGCTGAGTTTCCGCTGTTGTCGGGCTCGGTCGTCTCGTTGCTCGCGCTTGTTGGCTTCATTACGAAAAGCTCCAAGAAGATGCGGCTCTGGAGCGAGACATAATAAATTCTGAAAATGTTCGTAGAAACCAGCATTATTCAATATTAATATGAGCTATGAAAAATCTTTTACCGTCCTATCCTTCGCGGAATATGATATGCACGGAAGATGAAGGAATATTTACATGTGAGATATTTTGTTACCGATATAATAACATATAACGAATTTTAAAATTGAAAGGGATACACGAAGAAAAATATTATCTTACAATAGAGGTTGAAAACCTTTCCTATTAAGGAGAGCCATATTAAAATCTTTGTAATGACCGGGGGCTGGATAAGTTTTATTTTTGGAGAATAGAAGCAAAATATCTTTGTTTAAAAATTCTTTTATATATTATAAAAGTTCGACGCAGCGTCGACCGAACCGATGAACCAAAACTCATCATGATACTTCTGAATATGATGTACCAATGATCGACATACTGCTGCCAATGTATTCGAAGATACTACAGCACATGCAGCTGTGATCCTCTATTTCATGTTTTCGACTTTAGTTGGAATCTTCTTATAAACTACATTTTTTAGATGTCTCCATAAAAAGAAGTCTATTGGAGTTAAGTCAAGCGATTGTGCTGGAAAAATCTGGACGAGACTATCTTGTTCCATTCATCGGTTTGGAAATTTTCTGTTTAATGTATTTTTTGCTATTAAAGTAATTGTGAGCGGGACATGAAAAATGAATATTGTTTTAAATATATTTTGTAAAAAAGGGATTTTTTATATTTTTAATTTTTTTCCTTTCCACTAACATTTGCACGCTCAATCAATCAGTTAACTGTTGTCAGCGTAAAGTTTGCTACAATTCCACTATAAAAAGTTATTGTATTCTAATTTAAAAAAATAAGTTGATCTTGTAGTCTTCAAAATATTTTCGCACACAAAAATTTAATTATATGCATCTTAATTATGCCCTCTTCGAATAGTTATGTTTTAATTTGCGTTTAAATTAATTTTTGTAACAATAATTACACAGTTATTGGATGTGAAAATAGTTATATTTAATGTAGAAATTTCTTAGCGGGCTAGATAAAACTTCACGGAAACCGGATTCAACCGGAATCCCTATCTTACACGAAACCGTAATTTTTTTTATTTAATAAAAATGAAGAAAGATATTTTAGGCGTGGAATGCAACGGTCGAAGATTTAAAATTAGGGATTTTCGCATTACGGCGAAATTAGTTTCGCGTCCTAGGGGATAACACAGCGTGTATAACGTGTATCGCGTCCTTTACAGTTTGCAAATTCCTTTCCCTCTTTTCTCCCATGCCTCATTTTGCCGGTTCGCCGAAAGCAGAAGTTTGCAAGCGTAAATACGTACGTGTATCACACATGCAATCGCTCTGGATTCTGTACTCCTCGCATCCAAGCCAGCCTCTCGTCGTCGTTTCTCTCTTCGCTGCGCTTACCTTTTTTAAGTATTTGCCAATGTCTGTGGGGCCGCGTAAGTCTGTGTACGTTTCGACGCCGCATCGCAAAATTATCCGAGATGAATTCAGCGGCATACAGCGGCGTCGCCAAGTACGGGAGATAAAGCTACGTGCGGTTTGCAAGTACCCAACGAATGCCACGTCGAGAGTTTCGTGGAAGACATACGTGAAAACAAAACCCCATCTCCCTCATTATCGAAACCATAGATAATAAGAACTGCGCTTGTATATAAGGCTGCGCGTTTTCTACTCAACCAAACGGGGCGTATACATATATATGGATATTGTAAAAAGAGAGGGCAGAATTTCTTTATTGTCTTTATTTTAATAATTTGTCTTATTGTGAGACTTCGCGAATTAGAATCTTTACAAAATTGATTAATTGCCAGTAAATTTAATGGGTTTGCCACCATGCTACGGAAGTTAAGAAAAATTTGAAAAAGTCGTAAGCTATTAGCATCTTCATGATATGTGATAATAAAGAAGGTAGATAGAAAATTTTCTTCAAAGAGTGTTGTTCGAGGTTCGTTCTTCGTTCAAGGCAAAGTGAAATAAGTAGAGAGGAAACAGGAAATCACATTTGTCTCATTTAGTCACTCGTTTAATAAATTAGAAGCCTGTTTAACAATTTAACACAAATTTTCTCAAAATTAATATAATCATGAAAGCTTTGCTATTAAAGCACTGAGAAAATGTAGGACAATGATAAAAAAAAATAGATTAAGGGACTATTCATTTTTCTGGCAAAATACATATCTCAAAATTACTTTCAATTCAACTTCTTTTTCTTCTTTTTATTATATAGTTTTCTTATTCTTCTTTCAATATGTACAATTTCATTCTTTGTTCATGCAGTATAGACTTCCTGATATTCTCAATATCGGTTTCAACCTTTACCAATGCTCTCATCAGTTGATAGTTCTGAATGAACTGAGCAGAAAAGTGGCAGTAATATTCTTTAACTAATCAACTATCCCCACCTCATTTATTTGTGAATGTTACAATCGCCACGACGTTTAACGTTTCCTTCTTTAATGCGTTTATTCCCTTTCTTCTATATTTCAATTTCTTTCTTTAAGTAACAGAATTGCTCTTAAATTTTGCTCTAATAGAAAAATACTCATGATCAATTACCTTCGTATTTTAGACAAGATTTAGTCCTTCTTTTTGTGTCCTTCTTTTGTGAGTATTTCCAAGAGCAGATACCTATGATATGATAGTTTTGATCTGAGATTTATCCAATGTATGTACATCTGCACCTTGCGCCAAGTTTATAGTCTGTGACAAGTGAATAGACTTTATTCATTTTATTCTGCTTCGATTCAGTTTTGTTATTTAGCTTTAAATAATTCAGATCTGTGATTATTGCTACTAAAAGAAGAGATTAAGTAAAACCTTATAAGATATATATACGTAGAAAAGAATATAAAAATTCGCTATCATTTTGCTGACTTTACCACACTTGGCGAGCTGCAAATTCTGCAGGACCAATACGTTAGCATTAATTAAGTACCAATTAATTCTGATCGTTCACGCGAGCTCACCTTGATGCAAGTGGTAGAGTCAGCGACGGCAGAGTGCATATCTCGCCCTATCCTTGAATTTTTCGGCGAGTATAACGCCGCGTGGCATTGCATAAAGTATCATGCTAACGTAACGTTGCGTGGCCGATGCAAAAACTGACGCCGAGCGACGTCGACGACGTTTCAATAGCAACGGCAATGACGGTGTCGCGCTACCAGGAACGAGAGACCCTTCGGCTTCGAAACGAGCCGAGATTGACGCGCACGTTTCGGAATTCATTAAGTTTAACGAATGCGGGATCAAGGGGCAGCAAAGCGGCCAGACGGCTTCTTCATGAGTGCTGAAAAAAGGGCGAAATGCTGGAATAAATGCATGCCAGAAGGATCGTCGAGGCCGTGAAAAACAAAGGGCTTGCCAAAGTTCGAGTCGGCGCGAGAGTAACAACGTCGATCACCGTTAAGCCATCACGTCGTGACGATCAAACCGATCGGGGGACACGAAAGATGTCCCCAATAATTGTCAAAAATAAATATTTGAGGTAAACCAGTATTTTTTATATAATATCTTTTTTTAACAGAAATATATACTTACATGAAGAAAATTACTCCATATTTACTTCGTTTATTAGAAATAATAAATAATCCTAGCTTTTATTTAAATTTGTAGAGAATTGCGCAAATTGGAACAAAGAAATTCATTTAATTAATTTTAAGATTGCGTTTTCCTGAGTATACTTTATTTACTCTCTCTATTGAATATCGACGCTATCTCGATATGTTCATTTTAGACTATAATTTTTTGGGACATTGTCTCATTTTTCATATTTCGAAATTATGAATTTTCGGAACAATATACCATTTTTCAAATTTTGGTACATTTTTTTCGAAACTTTGTACATTTACCGAATTATTTATATCGCCATGTGTTTGTATTTCCGTCGAATGCTATTCAATAAAGTTAAGCCGAAGATAAAATATAGCTCTCGAAACGATTTCTAAACAATCGTATGATTTATAAACATCATATGTAATTACGGTTATTTATAGGATGCTTCTTTATGGAAGAACTTTATACGTGCGTATGAGAGGAGTACCGCACAGAAACAGTTTATCGCATTTATCCTATCCTGGATGAAGGCAAATTAATGATAATAAGAGCGCGGGGCGGTTCGTATGGAATTAGCTACGAATCATCTCTCCCGCTGACTGATCGTTATCGGCAATTTGTAACGTTTGCTCCCTCGTGGGATTCGAGATCTCGGGGGATATCCACCCCCCCCCCGTCCCATTTC